CAGGAAGTGAGTCCACAGCTCACCTCAGTGTGGGAGGCCCAGGCCTATGCCCATACCCCAGTATGGACTGCTTGTCTTGACTCTTGAGAGGGCTTACACATCCTACATACCAGCCCAGGGAACAGCAAAAGGTCCAACAGTCCCTTCAGGTTCGGAAAGGGAAAAATGCCATTTCCGTCTCAATATTTCAATGGTTTTCCAGTGTTGGGCTGGGGGCTACCAATCATTTTGCCCCTTGAGACTTCCACCATCTTGTCCCCTCCCTCCATTCTAAGCCCTACATCCCTTCCTCTGTCCTCACACACATTCCAAATGATGCTGTGCATCCATCCCCCTGGTCAAGCTCCTCCACAACACCTCCAGAAGGCTGCCTGCATTTCTATTCAGGGTCTACAGATATCTTCATCAACACTCAGGATCATTCTTTCATTGCCATTTTATAAACAAACAGATGTCCCCTACTAGACTAGGTTCTTTGAGGGCAAGGATGCTATGGTGTTCATCACTGCTCGATGCACACAACTTCACACAAAATTAGTGCTTATTAAACATGTGCCAGCTCCAAAAATGAATGGCACCCCTAGAATGAGACCAGGCCACCTAGACACCCGAACCCCTTGTCATAAGTAGCTATGCCCAAAATAGGGCAAGCAGTCCTGGTATGCTTATAATCCGGCAATAAGTTAAGTCAAGGTTTGGGAAAGCTTATATTAGTCAAGTTGGAGAACCCACTGAGTTGCAGCCTGGGTCTGTGTTCTGTCTAGCCCTATACTCCAGCTGGAAATCACTTTCATTTGAGGAACAAAAAAAGTCAAAGAAATGGTATCCATAGATGATTCAGGGCCTAATTCCCCAGGGAACAAAGCAGCAAAGGATGGGAAGGAGGCTTTGGAGTCATCCCCCGGACACAGATGGTGGGTTGAGGACTTTATTCTGTTTCATGCCACAAACCTAAGTCTGGCAGAGCCTTGAATAATAGAAGTTGCCATTCTTCCCTCTGTGAGCCTTATACCCAATACTACAGTCTTTCTGATCCCCAAAACCACCTCTAAAAATGCAGAGCCCAGCCAGATCATCTCATTAGTTAATGAGTTAGGTTATTGTTGGTTAATTTAAACTTATTGTTATCATCAGGTATATCGCATGAACACTTTGGTTAGTTAACGCATTCAAATCGAAATAAAAACTTCAATTAAACTGAACATTCACTACTACCATTTAGGGTCTTTAAAAAAAAAAGCAACTAAAAAACAGAAAGGAAGGGAGAGGAGGAGAAAGTGCAGCCTCTCAGAAGGGCCTCCTACAGGGCAAACTTCTAATTAAACAAATTGTCAATTTCAACACAATGAAAACTGATTTAGGAGTGTAAATTTAGTATTCTAGTCACTGAAAATAAGAGCTCGCCTTGTCGATCTCTTACAGGCTGATTTCATCTGATAGGGAAATGAGGAGACGAGGAAGAAACTGAGGAAGGAAAGGGAAAGATCCAGAGGACAGGCAAGCCAGAGAGCCTTCCTTATATAAACAACATCTCCATGGAACTCACTGCCTTCTCTTCTCCAGCATCGGAGAAACTCTCATCTTCACCCCACCCCTTCCAGATTAGAAAAAAAAAAAAATTAATCGAGTATGATGACAAACTTGGCTGAGCACTCACTGTACATACTGTACCCACAAGTCTGGCTCACAGCCAGGCCTGTGG